TCAGTGCGGAAAGCGTGGTGGCGTTCAAGATGAGCCAACCGGCATTTCAAGTGAGGCGGCGTATACGTACGGCAGTTGACAGCGACTGAAGAAAATGGGTCGTCCAGAAGGCCTAACGGTTCTCCAAAACACCAAACGTGTGCGCATAATCTATACGCATTGTTTTCACAAACACACTATGCGAGGGGCAGTGGCGCGGAGGAAACTAGAGCACGCACGCATTAGGCGTAACAGGATCTTTGACGCACGCACGGCCGTCAGTGGAGATAATTTCCTTGTTGCCGCTCTCTGAGGAAACGACGTTTCACCGCAAGGCGTCTGTCGCAGTGTTTTTGTTCAGCATCGGGAGAATGAAGGCTGCCTAGACTTCCAGCGCTGTTCTGAATATGGATTCGGAGGAGAAGGCCTGGTCAGATGAAAGTTTAAAGTTGCGACTGTTGTGAAATAACTTAGTGATACTTCACACCTTCTCGAAGAAGTCCATAAACATGCAGTTCACTGTCGCGAACGCGCTTGCTTTAAAAAGAAAGTGCGGAGCTAAGCTCTCGATAAGAGGTACATGACAATTTACTCGAACTGAGTTTAAGAAACTTAGCAATCTCCCCTTACATGATACGCTCTCATGTCGACTCAGATATAACAAAGGAGCAACAGATCAGACAAATAATGTACAGAGGAAGCTTTTGATCGTCTCCATAACTAAAGCGAAATGACTCGCGCATGAAAAAAGAAAAAGAAACAAAGGGACTTGCAAAGATTTGTGTGCGTGAATGCCTTTTAAAAGTGTCGCTTTTTGCTTTGTGCTGTATCGGGATTGGCTCGAATTTTCTCTTACTAGCTTTTCTTATAGCACGAGCTTTTGATCAATACCGTCCAGAGCCCGTGTATATATGAGGAGAGCTATTGATTTGCTTTCTAAATGTCCGCAAGACAAAACTTCAGTGAGTACCGACGCTGAACAAATAATTTATTTATTTTATTTATTTCTACACACTGCATCCCAATTTGGGCTGTTGCAGGAGTAGTTTTTTTTTTTACATCAGCACACAAACAGAAAGGCAATGCAGCACTGCAATATAAAGAAAAAACAAAGAAAGAAAAACAAGAATAACACTCTTAATAAACAAAGCGTGAATCAATACATTCATTCAAGAAATCCTCTAAATGCAATGATTTAGTTCACCCCGCAAAATATTCCATTTGTCTATAGTGTGGGGAAAGAAGCTGACTTTAAATAGGTTGGTACGTGGATCTAGTTATGTCAGATTGAGTTTGTGGCTATTCCTCGTGGGGTTCAGTTTATCCAGAGACAAATATTCGTTAGTCAATGTGCAGCGTGGGGTATTATAGGGAGAATATGGAACTTTAGGCATTCGAGATCGCGTTCATATTAGCGAACGTGTCAGTCTAATGGCAAATATCACATACACGCGAAAAGCTTTCAATGTTCAGACCCAGGGGGCGTATCCGCATGCATGCGAACAAAGCAGTTACTCAATAGCTACTTGCAACAGCTCATGCCAGCCAGTAATAGCACTGGACGTGTAATTAGCAGATGCGGCTGACCAATAGTATAGAGAGTTTTCACGAACGTGGTCAGTGAATTTTCCCGCGGGATCAAATTATCATACTTCGTTCGAGACTGCTCTATTATGAGTAATGAGACACCTGAACCTTAAGTATACCTAAAGTTCAGGATTGCCTAGAATTTTATCTCACAAACAATCGTAGCACAAGATCATTTTGTAATTGCAAGGGGTGAAGAAGCGACCGCATAGTACCAATACGCAGTTATTCTTCATAAAAAACTAAAAAAGTAGTAATAAGAACATCTACCGCATTTTTTCTCGTTTTTTTTTCTTTTCCTACGCCTACATACTAATGCTGGAAAGACTGCGAAATCTGTTTGCTTACCGATTAATTAAGAGGGAGTCGCAAAGGTGTATATAAGCCGTCATCATTGTGTCTTTAATAAACGAGAAACAAAAACAACATCGACGACGAAGATATGAGTGTTGTTGCTCATGTGTGTTTGCGCTGGTCGGCGTAAACGTGAGCACAAAGGCTGGTCCAATCGCACTCGCTGTCAACAAAGGTCGGTGACTAACTTATACGGACGCGGCTGGTGGCAAGAACGATAAACTTCCGACTTTTGCAATAGAATTCGCATTTCAAGCAAATCAACTTCCAATAGGCGATCGAACTCATGCTTCTTAATTGGGTGGAAGAACAGCTCAGGCCTCAAGATAATTAAAGCATAAAGAAGACAGCTTCGCGGGTCGTTGAGTCATAGGGTGGATCGAGGTGCAAGTTCCCAGTAATACACTGGCATGCTGACAAGAATCTAGGAGAGCGAACATATCGATTGTTATCGACGCGCAAGTCGTCTAAAGAAAACCAGTATCTACACGAGATAGTGCGGGGCCTACGGTATGCGACGTCGGCGCCTCCTTTAATTATATGTAGTAGATACTCAAGGCGGCACCCCTTGTCATTTACTCCAACTAATCTCGGGAGCGAGAGCCTTTAATGAACTTAGTAATCGATTGTGCTGCGTAGAATATCCATTCCTGGCAGAACAAACGACGAATGAGCTCGATGGTGCTATCGCATTGTTACTATATAGCAACAAGGTTGCAGTACACCACGTTCCCTTTAAATATGATTCCTGTAAGAATTTTAGTGTAGCCCTTAGGACAGTCGCACAAGAAGAAAAATGCCCTAGGTGCGGGAACATCTTAGAACATCCGAGGAAACCTGCTCTATAGCGAATGCTTGGGCTTCTTTGACATTCACCTGAATCTAAACACACAGGTCTCTATAGCATCTTGCCTCCATCGAAACTGCGGCCGCCTCAGCCGGGATTCGATCTCACTGCCTTTGGGTCTGCAGTAAAGCACCATACACATTAGAGCACCACGGTGGGTACCTTTATCAAAGGTTTTCCCATCGAACAGGTTTAGGGGAAACTTAGTAGAAAGAGGAGGAAATTGTGGCGGTAGCCATACTGACATCAGCTTCAACTCGAAATCAAGGACGCCTGTATTCGATCCAACGGTATCCAAACTGAATATGGCTGTTACAGAAAAATACAGTTATTTGAGGACCGAGACACTGTACGTATGTGGTGCGCAAAGTTAAGGCGTCAGTGATGAACAAGCACGCATAAGCATTTGGGAGGATCTGAACAATGATTGCGAAATTATTGACCACACGTATGTGCAAGAATGTACTCAACTTCTCTCTTTGTTACCATCTACCTCCTTCTGATAATAATTGTCGGGGTTTAAGGTCCCGAAACCACCATATGAACTTATGAGAGACGTCGTATAGTGGAGGGTTTCGGAAATTTCGACCTCATGGGGTTCTTTTACGCGCGCCTAAATCTAATATAGGCACACGGGCTTCAAGCGTTCTTGTCTCCATTGAAAATGCGGCAGGGATTAAATCCCGTGATCTGCGGGTCAGCAGCTGAGTGCCTTATAGCCACTAGACCACTACGGCGAATTACCTCCTTCCACTATAGAGGCTAGTCAACAAAGTTTAGTCTAATCAACCTCGGTGCCGTTTTCGTGTCATTGTTTAAACGCCGGGTATTGTAATTGTTATTGAAAACTGTGGACGTGGGACACATTGTACATTCGGGTACGACGCAATTCATTCTACAAAAACATTGCTTTAGAAACGTTTACAGTTAGCCCAAGGCTCAAACCCTATGAAGGGGGCGGGGTGATGATTCAGAAGTGATTTGGCTTACAATCTAACTTCACTTTTTTTTTTCTTAAGTGACGAGTATGAGAATGCGAAGTGACCGCTGCTATCACTCTGCTCATTGATTGACATGTGTCTAATATGTGCGTGACTATATTGAAGCTACAACGGGACACTAGAACGACTTTTCTGTGCTTACCGCTAGCGAAACAGTCAACGAACGAGACAAATTTAAAAAGCGCCAAACTGCCATTTATCGTCTCCCAATAAAACGTTTAGAAAGCATTCAAATTGTAACAAAATGCTGTGAATAGACACAGAGACAACCTTCAATCATCACGCGCCCTGAGTACAATGTTAGTCACACTAACATTCTTTAGGTGTCGCGACACCAAGAATACCCTTCACCAGTTAAGACACGGCTACTTCACCAGTTAGCCGTACTTACTGAAAGTGCAGCTGCTGCCAAGTGAAGCTATGCTTTCAAATTCGAGTCTTAGGCTTGTGGGGGGGGGGGGGGGGGGGGAGGGGTGTATTGGCGTCCAAAGTACCATTTTTACTGTCAGGGACACTATACGTGGTCTTACTACACTGTACAATGTTCTGTGCGAGTATTTGAGGCGCGAATGATCAGCCGAATACTATTTTACCTCTAGGATGGATAGCGGACGTGTGAAGCCACTTGGTCCTATAGTTAAAAAGGTGTGTTCTGTTGATACCGAACATACCTGGTGAGACCGACACACAAATGAAATTGAGCTCGCCGCACTTAAACTAATGCAGTAAGAAAGACGTAAAGCAGAAAATAAATCTTACATGAAATATTTTTTTTTCTGAATTTCATTATTCATGGCGAAAAAGACCTTATTCCCTGCATTTGATAGCCACATGTGAAGGTACGCGACATCATCTAAGAACTTGTATTGTCCGATGTATAAGACGGCGTTGTTGATTTTAGATGTTATATGGTGCACATATATAATGGCAGCTCGCACGCAACTTTAAATTCCGTCCTTTAAGATAAGTCGATATATACTGCCACCGCATGACAGCTAATGAACACGGTGAAATGGCAGCTCGCATTCCAAGATTCCAGTAAGGCTCTGGCAAACGTGCCAACGCAATTTGGAAGCTTAAGGTGTGCACTGTGTGAGATACATGGGTACTTGCAGAACGAAGCAGGCTCAGGAGTACGAGAGCGTACTTCGATCGTCGACAGCGTTCAATCTTTTCTGTGACAGTCCTTACAAAGCAAGTCCCCCATAAAGAAAAAAAAAAATACAACTCACCGACGCAGAGCGAGTGTCACGAGGCTCACGCCGTAATCCAGGTAGAGGGAGATGAAAATCAAACAACAGACGCGCGATGGAACAGCGCGCGCGCGTCAGTCCGTGCTCCGGGATGCGGCGGAGAAGCCGAGGGAAGACGCAGGCGGACAGCTGCCGATCGCGGGGAGCACACGATTGTGACTGGCTCGACCAGAGCGGCGGCCGCCGAGTTTCTCGCTCAGCCAACGTACGCGCGCGCGCGCGCCGGCGTGGGACATACGAGAGAGGAGGAAAAACTCCTGCAAGAGAGAGAGTCGTGGTGACGTCAGAGGGAAGATGCGGCGGGACGGGCCCCTCTCGGACGTCCTGCACCAAGGCCTGGCTGATGCTCGGGACGCAACTCGGCCGCGGGCCCTCTCTTCCGCCGCCTCCCGCGCCTCCTCCGCGCTTCATTCGGCCACACGCTCCGCCGTTTTGCTCCCGCGAGTTATGTCAGAGAGGCCGAGAACTTCATCGCGACTCGCTGGAACGCGACAAACCCGAGCAATCTTGAAGGTATTTCGCCTCTCGTGGAAAACCCGAAAAGGCGGCAAGAAAATGATTGCTGGACTGTCTCAAAAGCACGACGGAGGGGTGACGGGGCTGGTGGAAGGCAAGAACGATGACACAGAAGACGAATTCATCATAATCATAATCATCATCATCATCAGCCTGACTACGTCCTCTGCAGGACAAAGGCCTCACCCATGTTCCGCCAGTTAACCCGGTCCTGTGCTTGCTGCTGCCAATTTATACCCGCAAACTTCTTAATCTCATCTGCCCACCTAACCTTCTGTCTCCCCCTAACCCGCTTCCCTTCTCTGGGAATCCAGTTAGTTACCCTTATTGACCAGCGGTTATCCTGTCTACGTGCTACATGCCCGGCCCATATCCATTTCCTCTTCTTTATTTCAACTATGACATCCTTAATCCCCGCTTGTCCCCTAATCCACTCTGCTCTCTTCTTGTCCCTTAAGGTTACACCTACCATTTTTCTTTCCATTGCTCGTTGCAACGTCCTAAATTTAAGCTGAACCCTCTTTGTAAGTCTCCAGGTTTCTGCTCCGTAGCTAAGTACCGGCAAGATACAGCTGTTATATACCTTCCTCTTGAGGGATAGTGGCAATCTACCTGTCATAATTTGAGAGTGCTTGCCGAATGTGCTCCACCCCATTCTTATTCTTCTAGTTACTTCAATCTCGTGGTTAGGCTCTGCGGTTATTACCTGTCCTAAGTAGACATAGTCTTTTACAACTTCAAGTGCACTATTACCTATCTCGAAGCACTGCTCTTTTCCGAGGTTGTTGTACATTACTTTCGTTTTCTGCAGATTAATTTTAAGACCCACCTTTCTGCTCTCCCTGTTCAACTCTGTAATCATGAGTTGCGATTCGTCCCCTGAGTTACTCAGCAATGCAATGTCATCGGCGAAGCACAGGTTACTAAGGTATTCTCCATTAACTCTTATCCCTAACTGCTCCCATTCTAAGCTTCTGAAAACCTCCTGTAAGCACGCGGTAAATAGCATTGGGGAGATTGTGTCCCCCTGCCTTACACCCTTCTTGATTGGTATTCTGTTGCTTTCTTTATGAAGCACTATGGTAGCAGTTGATCCCCTGCAGATTTCTTCCAGAATGTTTATATATACTTCATCTACGCCCTGATTCCGCAGTGTCTGCATGACGGCTGATATTTCTACTGAATCAAACGCCTTCTCGTAATCTATGAAGGCTATGTATAGTGGTTGGTTATATTCTGAGCATTTCACTATTACCTGATTGATAGTATGAATGTGGTCAATTGTTGAGTAGCCTCTTCGAAATGCTGCTTGTTCCTTTGGTTGATTGAATTCTAATGTTTTCTTTACTCTGTTAGCAATTACCTTTGTAAATAGCTTGTATACTACAGAGAGCAAGCTGATCGGTCTGTAATTCTTCAAGTCCTTGTCATCTCCTTTCTTGTGTATTAGGATGATGTTAGCGTTCTTCCAAGACTCTGGTACTCTTCCCGTCAGGAGACACCTCGTAAACAGGGTGGCTAGTTTTTCTAACACAATCTGTCCTCCATCTTTCAGCAGATCTGATGTTACCTGATCCTCACCAGCAGCTCTGCCTCTTTGCATGCTCTCCAAAGCTTTTCTGACTTCTTCTATCATTACTGGTGGGGTGTAATCTTGGTTACTGCTAGTTCTTATAGTATTAAGGTCGTGGTTGTCTCGGCTACTGTACAGATCTCTGTAAAACTCCTCCGCTATTTTAACTATCCTATCCATATTGGTAGTTATTTTGCCTTCTTTGTCCCTTAGTGCATACATCCGACTTTTGCCTATCCCAAGTTTCCTCTTCAATGCTTTGACACTTCCTCCGTTTTTCAGAGCGTGTTCAATTCTCTCCATGTTATACCTTCTTACATCGCATACCTTACGTCTATTAATCAACTTCGAAAGCTTTGCCAGTTCTATTTTGTCTGTTGTACTTGACACTTTCATGATTTGACGCTTCTTAATGAGATTCTTCGTTTCCTGGGAAACCTTGCCAGTGTCCTGTCTAACTACCTTGCCTCCAACTTCCCCTGCACACTCCGAAATGATAGTCGTCAGATTATCATTCATTGTATCTACGCTAAGGTTGGTTTCCTCACTAAGAGCCGAGTACCTGTTCTGCAGCTACACTCTGAATTCCTGTACTTTCCCTCTCAGTGCTAGCTCATTGATTGGCTTCTTGCATATCAGTTTCTGTCGTTCTTTCTTCAAGTCTAGGCGAATTCGAGACCGTACCATTCTATGGTCACTGCATCGTACCTTGCCAACCACTTCCACATCCTGCACGATTCCTGGGTGTACACTCATTATAAAGTCTATTTCGTTCTTATTTTCGCCATTAGGGCTCCTCCATGTCCACTTGCGGTTTTCTCGTTTTCGGTAGAAGGTATTCAAAATCCGTAAATTATTGCGTTCTGCGAATTTTACTAGTAGCTCTCCTCTGGCGTTTCTAGTACCGATGCCATAATCTCCTACTGCCTGGTCTCCAGCCTGCTTCTTCCCTACCTTTGCATTAAAGTGGCCCATCGCTATAGTATACTGTGTTCTTACCTTACGCATTGCCGATTCCACGTCTTTATAAAAGCTTTCAACTGAAGCGTCATCATGGCTGGATGTAGGCGCGTAAGCCTGTACTACTTTCATTTTGTATCTTTTATTCAGTTTAATTACGATACCTACCACCCTTTCATTAATGCTATAATATTCCTCTATGTTGCCAGCTATGTTTCTGCGAATTAGGAACCCCACTCCCAGTTCTCTTCTGTCTGCCAAGCCCCGATAGCAAAGCACGTGCCCATTCTGTAGCACCGTATAGGCCTCCTTTGTCCTCCTAACCTCACTGAGCCCTATTATATCCCATTTAACACCCTCTAGCTCCTCGAATAGTACAGCTAGACTTCCCTCACTAGATAAGGTTCTAGCGTTAAACGTTGCCAAGTTCAGGTTCCAATGGCGGCCTGTCCGGATCCAGAGATTCTTAGCACCCTCTGCTGCGTTGCAGACCTGACCGCCGCCGTGGTCAGTTGCTTCGCAGCTGCTGGGGACTGAGGGCCGTGAGTTATTTGACGTATGCATGTGCGAGGTAGTGGCCAGATACTGCACCAGGGTGGCCAATCCTTTTCTGGTGAGGGAGTGCGTTCACGGCGGTGGTTACCGGTGAGGCCGCACCCCAGGCCTCTTAATGCAGTTCCATCAACACGCAGATTTTTTTTAAACCCGGTTGGGAGCTGCGCGGCACGGGGATTTGAACCACGGACCTCTTGCATTTTGAACATCAAAGGAAGAGCCAGGTATCACATAATTGTGCAAAAGGAAGCATTAGTTTGCGCTAAATATTTCCCGATAGCAATGCACCATTTGGCTGGATTTCAAGTTTTGTTAAAATGTACGATGACACAGACCATGGGCTTTTTTCATGTCATTTGCTACCAATTAAACAGCGGCTGCGTAATTTAGGGTACCTTGAAAATTCTCGCGGTCATATTTCAAGAAGGAAGGAGGCAGAAACACACCGTTCATGCTGTACGTGATCCTTCATCACTCGCGGAAATAAATTTATTCAAGCTGAAACGTGGTCGAAGAATTATTCTACCTCTCGGCCATCAGAGAGGCTTTTAATTCTCGAGTCTCTTAATGAGATATTGCTGCCATCTTTTTCCAAACGGCCTGCAGTTCTGTTGTACCGACACAACATAGCAATACCCTTGTTTTTGTAGATTTTTTTTCATTCCCATTCAGACACTTTTTCATTCATAGGCATCTTTGCAGCGCGTAAGAACTTCCTGTCGCCCCTCACACGTCGTTGCAAGAAAACACGTGTGGCGCTAAAACACTCTTAATCACTCAGAAAGCGGATCGGATTAATCCTGGCTTGGCTTGTGAAGGATATGGCCAGGAAATAAAATAAAAATATGCATATGCAAAAATTACACAACGATGTAATTTTTTTAAAGCCAAAAGCTAAGTGCCACAAATGTTGAAAAAAAAAAAAAACGTGTGATGAGAATTGACCATATGCGCAAATTTCAAGCTGGCTTTTCTGCAATGTTGTCTTCCAACCAAAAGGTCTCGTTCCCAGACTGCTTCTCTCACTCATTGTGTTTTTGCCTCAATTGCCACAATCATTTCTTTTTACGAGCTACGGCTGCCATGCGATCTGCGGTTACACTTTCCAGAACACTGTACTGCGGTTTCGTTCCAGGTGGGGCAACTCCACGGGACAACCACAAAGTAAAAATCGTTTTGTCGCACCAAGACATTGGTCGCACTCACGTGCCTTCCCTGGAATCAAAGTGGTAGAAGCACAGTGAGCAAGATAAGCAGTCTGAGCATGAGAGCTTTACTTTGTTTGTTTTTCTTGGTTTGAAAACAACCTAGCTGGAAAGCTGCCTTGCAGATTTCTGAAAATGGTCAATTAAATAAAAATATGTTCTGTCCTTTTATTTTTCCAGGAGTGGGGAGCTGGAACTGCTGTTCACAAATAGCCAGTTAAAATGAAACACGTAGCACAGATTGAGATGACGTAAACGCAGGTTTAAAAGCGCACAACTTGCGGCGTACTAGCACAGCGGGAACGCTCTCCCCCCCCCCCCCCCCCGTCTTGTTTCGATTTTTTTCAGAATTGTACACATCACCACTCCC